TGGGCACAAGATTATTAGACTCGTTTAACGAAGACCAAACAGTACCTGGCGAATCGAAATCACCAAGAACTATCATATGGTCTTTATCTGAAAGCGAGCAAGAAACAGTTTTTAAAGCGGACAGGTGATGCTCGTATATTAGGATATCCGAGGAAGGTGGAATATACGAGCAAGTAATGAAAATGGAAAAGCCTGGGAAAATCAATTTTACGCACAGGAATTCCAGGTCTTGTTGAACCTGGACCGTGCAATGTTCCGACGTGAAGTTTGAGTCCACTGCAATGAGGACCCCACCTCCACGTCGTGACGAACGGTCATTTCTAAAAATTGTGTACCGACCTGCCAAAACATCGGAACTTAGGATGTCAGGCTTTAACCAGGTCTCGGTAAACACAATAACATGGGACGGAATGCGATTCTCTTAAGAAAAAGAGTGCTGAGCTTACTACGCAAGCCTCTAGCATTCTGGTAGGTAACTAAAAGAGAGGAAGTTAGTTTTATGGATGGGTAGAAGTTGAGGTGGAAGATGAGAGTAAAGATGGAGCACTGGTCAGACTACTGGGAAGAGTTATGGGGGGCCTATTCTTTTTCTTAGCCTTAAACTCTTTGACGACCAAATACTCCGGCCAAAACTTGGCGGAAAAAATGGTGTCAAATTGAGTCGGGGAGACTCTTATCTTAAAGGAAGATATTTCCCTGGCGTAAGAAAAGTTAAATTTTTCCACCTTTAAGCCAACGGCATTTATTTTGCTTTGTATAAAAGCGGTTACATCATTGGATGCAACGTCAAGGACTAGCCGCGAGACAAAAACTTGTCGCTTTGGTCGGACTCCCACCAGTGGTTTTGGCACCACAGGCCTAGTACCTGTGATGCCAGTATCCGGTGGTCCTGGACATCTATTAGCTGGTGGGAGCGAAACTGATGGGATAGTTAAGGAGTTGGGTGCGGACTCGACGGACACGGACGCTACAGACATGTCTAACTGCATACTCTCCGAAGTGACGCATTCGGCTCCCGAATCTGCAGCATCAGCAGCGATCGTTGCCCTTGGAGTAGCAGACGTAATCAACTGTCAACAGTCGGAGTAAGTTTTTCGGCTGCCGGCGGACATGAGGCAGTCGGCACATGCAAATCACGTGGAGTAGACTTCTTGCGCCTCGGAGACTCAGCCAGCAGCTGTAAACTGCTGAGTGTACATGGCCAAGAGCCGATCATATTGCTGTTTAAAGCCTACGATCAGCTCTTTGATGCCACTCCGCGTCTGCCTCATGAACGAACGCATGTCGTTTTCCACAGCACGGCATTCCTCACAACTATAATGCAGGCCGTTGTTTTGGGAAATGGCGTCTCCTACACGGCCCGAGATCTCTACACATTTTGCGTGCACTACGCTTTCGCAAAGCCAGCAAGGGATATTGGGCTGGTCATGGGTGATCTGCTTACAGGTTTTTTTGGCGCAGACGACAAAAAATTCCATAATAATGTCTTTTTTTTCGAGGAAAAAAAAGTTCAAAACAAATAGTAATCAGACCAATGTGCAGAGCAGAAGCTTAGAGCAATGCTTAAAGCGAAATCGATAAAAAACGAGAAGGAACGTGTGAGTCGCGTCCCCAGTACTCAGTCAGGATATACATTTGTGAGCATATGATTTTTTAGAGATTTATAATTTAAAAAAAAAAATGTACATTTTAAATTTTTTTGCTACATCCGTTATCTACATATACAATGTATATTCTACATCTAACATTTAGATTATACATGTACCATTAGATTTTAAATCTCTTCCGCTTTTTCTTTTTTCTTTCAAATATTTTAGCTTTAATTAAAAATTTTGTACTTATTTTTAAATTTCAAATCATTTATTAATCCAATTTTCATATCGTTCGTTCTCTTTCGTAATGACGTAATGACCTTGTTTTTTTCTTTTTTGGCTGTTTTTTGTCTTGAGATTGCGACACAAATCGCTCTAGAGGGAGGTCCCTCTAGAGCGAACGTTACGCAAAACTCCGCAAAAAACGACCCATATATGCATATACGTAGGTTAATAAATATTAAAAGAAATTAAAAAACAAAAATTTAGAAGTTTTTGTATTATCCAAACTTTTACAATAAATAGTCAAAGTTTAACTTTGTTGCCAGTGCGTATTTTCCTATGTAAAATGTAATTTATATATATATATATATATGTATATACAAATATACATATATGTAGATACCACCTCTTTTCGGCTGAGACTCCACTGTGCAACGGAGTGTCGGAAGCAGGTAGGTGTTGGTTCTGAGAGGTATCGAGGACTAGTAGTTCGATTCGTGGTTCCAAATCAAATAGACATTCGTGTAGTCTCAACATACATATATGTATCTAAGGATTTGAAAACCATCTTGGATTTACAATTATTAGGAATACCAGTACACTCAGTAACGATAACTCGGCTTAAGATATAGTTTTTATTCTTTAATTAATTGCTGAGGCTTGCGCAATTCTAAACAGAGTTAATTCGCGCCATAACATAAGGCGAAATCATAACATAACAAAACAGGCGAAAACAGTCTTCAAAAAGGAAGAAGAGGGCAATGAAAATTGTCGAAAAAAGTGAAAACAATTACGCCATCTATCCTATAAAACTTGACTTGAGTCTGATGTCGGATGTCTCTGACAAAAGCTCGTCGCCCTGAAACTGGTTTTTAATGTCCAGTGTCCGCCCGGAACAATTTTAAAATTTCCTCTACCAGACGAGTGCAATGGGGGCGCCACTGGGCCAATAGTGTCGCTAGAAAACCAAAAGATTCATAGTGGCGCCAAGTTTGCAAGAATGTTGCCAGCAACTTAACATGTTGCCAATGTCACAACAGCGTGCTGCCAACAACTCAACATGTTGCCAAAGTGCTTGCAGCATGCTGCTGGCAACAAACTTTCTAATGTTATTTTTGTAATTCTATGTAAAATGCAAATTCCCACGGTACGGTTTTGGGAAAATTTAAATGTTTACAAAAAGAGACAGAGATATGTATAACATATATCTGTCTCTTTCTTTCAACACTTTAACAGAAGAGAAAATGAATGTTAGAACTTTCCTTTACAATGTTAGTGTTAATTAAACATTAAATTCAAGAAAATCAAGACAAATCGAGACAAATATAGAAAAATATAGCACGTATACAAATAACGCACACAGCCACCATATTAAAACCACATACGAAATTGGTAAAAGAACCGAAAACTAAAGTCTTTATACTGTAAGTGGAAAAACTCAATTGCACAGAGAGAGTGCAGTGCATTCGCAAAAAATTAAATCTAATATTTCATATGCATAAACCCGAAAACCAACTGCATTTGAAAACCATTTCATTCCACATGACAAAGCAAATGTTTTTTGGAGATCAATTATATTTCAGTTTTTGTTTTTAATACCTGGTACTTTACGTTAAGGGTATGTCGAAATATGGGGAAACAGAAATTCAAAGATATTTCAATCAAATTTGATAGAATTAGTCGTCTATCTATATTCTATCTGCTATCAAAAAATCTTCATGATCGGAAAAATATTACAGCCGTACACATTGCACCACCTGGCACTGCTTGCACTTGACATGGCAGTCTGATATAGAGTCGAAAAGCGTGATTTTAAAAATAAAGTGGCAGGTAATATTTTCCTATAAAATGAGAATACAATATAATTTAATGATGCCGCCCAACTGGGTAAAAATGGGTTCATTTTTCCACTTTTGTAGAAAGAAAGGAAATTTCTTACTTAACTTCAAGTTCTTGTGGATTTTTTATTAAATGGTCTGATAAAATTTACAGAACCAAATCTGATCTATATCCCCAATTCAAATTATATACTAAGTGCCTATCCATTAAGAGTATAAGAAAAGTTGTTTCGGACTATTTAGTTTGTATATTAATTAACCTTTTCAGTTTGAATAATATTATTTTTTTTCATTTACCAGAAAATCAATGAATGAAGTTGCATCATTAAATTATTTTATTCGTGTTTAAAGAATGGGATTTATTTGAAAATTTGCGTCATCATTTGGAATAAGCATAATTATAGCGTATTAAACCTTCGTTGGCGATATTAGGCATATAAAAACGGGTTTTTAGTTTATCGCCAGATTTTTGGGCCATTGATAAAATTTGACAGACATTTATTTTCTGGACATTTATTTTCTGCTAAATGATGCCAGAAGAATATCTTAAGACCTTTGCATCTAGTGAACATACCGAAACGTTCGATGACAGCTGAGTTTGCCGGCTAGGTACATCACACGATGCTGCGTTCCTGGCTCTGTCGAAAATTGGTTTGGCTCGCAACAAAACTTATACTAAACTAAGCAATATTCATTTATTTCATTCGCTATGCTTTGAAAACTATTTTCTTATATCTCAGAATTTTTTTTCGCTAAATGGGATTAATATTCCTTTTTTTAAATGGTCGACCGAAAATACTTCCGCTCCACCTTCCTTTCACCTTAGCCGATTGGCTGTAGATTTTTTTTCATTGTTGTGGGATTTATTCGAATCTCCGAGTGATCAGGCTTTCGCGACTAATCTCTTTGCTCACATCTCAGCCAGCTGCTGCTGCTGCCTCAACGATTGCCTTTTGTGGGTTGAGTTGATCATTTTGCTTTGTTGACCATACGCTGCCTGCTCTTAATTGTTTGGCTGGTATGGAACTTCAATGCTGGGCCGACTCTGCTTCTGTTCCTGCTCGTCGTATCTTTTTTCTTTGAATTTGTATATCCTGTTAAAATAGGCGCCTCTGTTTTCCATTTCGCTGTAAAATTGTAAGTAAAAGAAAATCTGTTCTATTGCGCTGATGTTTAGAAACCCATAAGTTTAAGCGGGCAGAAAAGCTTCAATTTTGTTTGACAATTTACCATTCAATTTTAATTTCTATACTCTATACTTCTATACTTTCTATACATGTGCCTTGCATGTTTATTACAAAATATTATCAAACATTCAAAGCAAACACCGGAAAAACATGATTATTAGCTAGAATTTTCTAATAAAAATCAAATTACAAAAAACATGAATATTTTTTCCCCCAATCCGTTGATTGGGCCGAGTTTTTCTGGCTCCCGTCGTCTTGAGTTCAGGGGTGAGGCGGCTTCTTGGAATTGTGGAAAATACCTTCAGAACACGCATAACTAATTACGCATAGTTCCCCTTTTTCTTGTTGTCATCTGGTTTGGCTTATTTGATTTATACACAGGATTGAGGGATACTTACAAGGCGTTCGAAAAGAAATCAAGAAAGAAACATATTTTTTTGGGGACACATGTACAGAAAAGTTGGGTTGTATAATTATCATAGGCGCCGCACTAGACTGTATGGAATGACTTCTGATCAGAAAATCATGGGATATGGCGAGATCCGACAACCACAAATCCACAGGTAAAAACTAATTTAATATGCGGAAAATAATGTCTGGCGCAAGCGGCTTCGGGTCGTAATTTTCCCCATTTTTCATTTTAAATAATAATGACGCCAAGTTATGGAGTCTTCATTCCCGATTCATCTCGTAACGCTTATCATTTGAAAAATTTTTTTTTTTTTTTTTTTTGCAGAACAGGAAAGGAAAACCCCTGTGTGGCGCTTCCACGAAACTACTCGTATATATTTTTAAGCCATGAATATGCCATGAAAAATATTAATTGGACAGTAGCTGCAGCAGCGAGCCCAGCTGCCGGCGAACCTTATCATCCAATTAGTAACCACGAAAATAAGGATCGAAGAGGACAAAGTACGACAAACCAACAATGCTCAAAAAAGGAGAATAGAATACTTCTCTACCTTCCTTTCGACAAATGCTACTAGGGAAGCTGACTAGGAGTAAGACATCAGCAGCGGCGGCAGACGCGCAGCTGCAAAACGGAGATAATAAAAATGATGTCAAGTCGAGTTCAAAAGATGCTAGCGCGTCAACCATAAAACTAGCCGAAAATGACAACAAGATAAAACGAGCGGGACCGCCCCTGGCGAAGCCATCGATGACCTCCGGGCATGGGCCTCTAATTTGTGTAACTTGCCTACCCAACGGGCAGTCCAGAATTGAGATGGAAACAAAAGAGCATTCCATATATTTGCCATGACATTTGAGATTTTGCAGTCGATGATTTTCAATGCTGGACATTGTCTCAACAATTCTAAGGACTTCTCCTATTCTCTCAGTTTCTATCTCTGGAAAAAAGCAATAGAAAATGCACAAAATGGATTCGAAAATGTGCCTTAATCATGACACTTTGTTCTCCTGCTTTGTCTATTTTCTTTATTGCCAGAGATTTTTCTTTTGATACAATATAATGTAATGTAGGGTAAACTATGTTTTTACAGTTCGTAATATAAGTTTTGTTAATATTAAAAGCTGTAAAACCAAATAAAAGTAATGTTAATTAATTGAAATCAAGTCCCATCTGTGTCTTTTCAATTTTCGTTCACTCGCTTCAGGAGCTATTATTTAATTTAGAGCTATTATTGCCAGCCGAGCCAGAATACTCCCCAGTTACCAGCATCCTTGTGTGTGCTCCATGCGCATCCAGTTAGTGGATGCTTATTGATGTTGTTGTTGTCGAACTGCTATAGTATTTTTCAGTAGCGTTTCCGCTTTTGGCTTTGTTTACTTTTACGCTTTGGTCGCAAACAAAAGCCCCAAAGCCCCTCTACCCTACCCACCCCAACCGCAGGCCACCTCATGGCTTCAATAGACTGAACAAGCCACACTATGTTTGGGTATTTGTATTTCTTGTTTTCCTATTTCTGTTCCTTTTTCTCCGGTTTGCTTTTAGCCTGACTCCTGCGAATCCCTTGACAATGCAATAAATTGCGCAAAAATTGGAAAAATAGAATTTTAGCCGCACCATTCCCAGTAGCAACAACGGGGAAAATATCCTCTGGCTTTCACGCAATATATCCAGTTCTTCAGCTCTACGCCCCCTCATGGCTACGCCACCGAAATCAAGTGCTAAGCTTCCCACAACGCAATCAATTGATTTCTATTGTTTTGTTAAAATGTCGTGTCGCATCCCCAACTTCTCCTGGTTCTGCTCCCCAACTGCTTGAATTTCTCCTCCTATCCTTTCCCCAATATTGCAGATCTATTTGAGCTTTCATTTGTGGCCCTTTGGGTTCGTTCCGTCTCTCATTCTCTCTCACTGTCCTCACGTTGACTCTCTTTTTGTTCTCCTCTGGCATTTTAAAAAATTGCTTTGTTGTGGTCTTTATTGAAATTTTTTAGATTTTTGCTTTTTTTTCGATACACAAAAAGGAACAGCCAACAGAAAAAAGTTCTAAATAAAACTGTCCATTATTTTTTTGTTTTCTTTATGTACTTTTAACGTCTGCTCTGCAGCAAATTTTGCATTTTACGAGACTTTTCCTTTTCTGGGTCCGTTTGATTTTTTCTGAAATATTCATAGGTTCTTCTAGGGATTTATAGAACCGACGTTTTTGTTTGACGGAACTTTCAATTGTTTTATAATTTATAGTCTATGATATTCCAGTAAACGAGTTTGAATTGCACTCTTATACATAGTAGATACGAGTCATATGTGTGGAAATGTGAAAATATCCAGAACTGTAAAAAAATATTGTAAGTAATAATGTCTGGACAAGTGATTCGGCCGTTATCCTGAGAGAATGAAAAGAGCAGTGGAGAGGCTCGTCCATTAACATTCCATAAATCGCATATTTGGCAGTAATTTGCTGCGAGTTTTGCCCTCAAAAGGGTAACAAGAGTAGCCAAAGCGGCAAACGAAAATTACGCCAAAGTTTCAAAAGAAAACAAGAAAACAGAGCGACATCATAGGAAAGCGAAAATTATTTCTGCCATTATCTATGCAATGATTTAAGAGATTCGATTTGCTTTGGACCCCCTCTTCTTTTTTCTCTCCTTTTTTCTGGATTTTTCCTGCTGTCACTTTTTTATTGTTGTGCGTATGGCCTAAAAACTTTAGTTGGTTTTGCTCTTTTACTTCATTTTAATATTCACACTCCTGAACTTTTAGTCTTGTTTGTCGCTCGTTTGCGTATGCCAAGTAGGGGAGTGATGTAAGCTTTAGCATTGGGTGGGTGGGGAGAGGGTGTGTTAATATGGTGCAGAGGGTGGGTATGGGAGAGATTTGTTGCGGAGTCAAATGTGCAAATTTGTTTTGCTAATGTTTATGCAAATACGCAAAAACACATCATGCTAAAGAAAAAAAGGAAGCGAGGGGAAGGAATTTTTCTCCTACGGCTGCTACTGTTTATGAAACTGTCGGTTAAGTAGATGATTTCCTTGCCGCTTTCCCAGCTCTCTACACTTGGGGACTCCAATCTGCTACGCCTCCCCGCTCATTGTCGCCTCTTATGTAAATGTAATGTTAAAATGTTTATTCCAGTAAGATTTGCTTAGCTCTTCAAATACTTCGCTCTAAGGTCTTGCCAGATGATGTTGTGGCAGTCAGGGAGAGCTCCCGCGTTAGGGGAGGCACTTTGGTAAAAGCATGCGTTGGTTGTTGGGACATCCATATAATACTAAACGACGCATAATTGAAACATTATGTCAGATTATTGTTAGCAATGGAAGAGATTTCTTAGTTTGCTTTTTTTCCTCTCTTCTTTTTCGGTTGGTGCTTGGGTTCTGTCCGTTTAGGCGGAGATAATTGACCGACATAAAAAATATTCCATTGGGGCAACGAAAGTTTTACCGAAGATAAGAGATTTTTACCGCATTTAATGGAGCCAACAGATAAATAACAAAAAGGAAGTAAATTATGAATGAGAAGTAAAATGTGTAAATTTGGAGATAGCAGACTTTTAGACTAAATAAAAGAATAGTGCTTAAAAAAGAAAACATTTAGGAATCTAAACTGTGAACTAAGCAAAAGTAGTATTTACTAGGAATGAGGTCGTATTGTTGGTAAAAATTATATTATTAGTTATTATATGAAAATAAAAGTAGCAAGGTCGTACTCAGTATTTCGCAAAGAGATGGTTCACATAAAATTACTTAAACAACAACAAAAACAAACATTTCCAATGTATATTTGTTGTGAATATTAATATTTATTAATCTTTTATGAAGATTTCTTTATTCGGTTTTTTTTTGACGGGATGTGTCGTAAAAACATCAGGAAATGGTAACAAGAATGGTAAAACTACACTCTGTGGACTTCATCTTAATTGAATTTTACAAAAAAATAAAGAAATTTTGAGTTAAAATTGGACAACGAAACATTTTATTCTTTTCATGCTTTTGAAAAAGGACCGACAGCAGGAAAAGTCGGCCAGACAGGAAACCGACCTCTGTTTGTGAAAAAGTGGAAGTTTTATTTACTTAAAAGGAATCAAGACATGTATAAGGAAGAAATAAAATTATTTTGCTGGAACCGCTTGCGAGAAAATTTTGTTGCGCTTCCGGCGCCCAGAACAATAAGTGGTCAAAGAAGAAGCTACTGGAGACAAATTTGTGCCTTGGCATCCTTGGTTTCCCTCCGACCTTTTCTCCTACAAAATCGACTTCACAAAGGACAGGACACTGGAAGAAAAAAACATTAAAAAACCAATAAAATGCAATCGATCTAAACAGTAAAAGCAGAAAAAAAAAATGTGGCATTGTATGTATGAAAATGGATTTTTATCTCTTTCCTCCTACAGGACAAACTCGTACAAAGAAAATTGTAAAATTGGTATGAATAAAAGGAAAACTGTGATATTGATAAATGCAATATTAATGGGGGAACTTAAATACTTTATTCATTACACTTTAGGATGAATGACAGTTATGCTCGCCTGCAATATTGAGTGCTAAGAGAAAGGGTTAGAAAGGCTGGTTAAATTTTAATTAGTCTCAACAATAGATTGAGAAGCTAAGAGCCTAGTCAAGGTCACAATAACCAAGGTGCTGCCAAACAATTGTATTTAATAATCAGGATGACCAAGCCAAAGTTAAATGCTTAAAGCCTTATTTTTATTATCTACTAAAGAAAATTAAATTCGTCCATCAACTTTGAAGCGGAGAAAGAACCCGCAGCTAAGTGGGAGAAGAAAATAATAATGTTTGGTTGGGGGGAGAGTCAAAAATAAAATTACGTTTGTAGATTATATTTTATAAAGATTAAAAGATTTAAAGATTATAAAGATAAGATCTCCCTTGTAGTTTAAGCATAAATATAAGAAAATAATCAATATTTATTATTAATGAAATAGATAAAAATGTGTGTTGGTATGGGTATGTATGTATGGGTCTATAATAGATGCGAAAATCGTATTCATTTATTAGCGTACGACTTTATGTAAATTTTAAAAGTTAAACTGATATTGGATATTGGTAATATTATTATACATATATATACATACAGACGTATGTAGTTGGTCGATGTACTATTTATACCCGTACTCAGTTAGTACTCACACGTTCCTTCTCGTTTTTTTTATATTTCCATTAAAAAAAACTTTTGGCTTTGAGTTCTTGCTTGGTTCATATTGTACATATGAATTTCATAACTAATTTTAGGTCTCTTTATATATGCAGTCTCTTTAAAACAGAATATCACAGAGTGGCAACATAGCTGTGGAAAGACCACTAAAGGGAGAATCATCCACAGCTAGCTGAGCACATCATTTCTTACAACTTCCACTTCATATAATCTATTTAACCCAAATTTAAACGTGTCGTGCGTTCAGCTCAATGTTTAATCAGCTGTAAAGCAATTTTCACAATGTTTTTTCTATAAACGAGAACAGTGGTCTCCTGGTCTGGTTGGGGATAGGATAGGGATTGGATAGGGATAGGAATAGGGAAGTGAGTGTTATTGGTATTGGGTATAGGACCTTCGTGTGACTCCTTGGCGGCGCTGATTTTTTGTTTTTTTTTTTTTTGTTGTCTCTCCTTCTAACAACTTTTTGCTCCATTTCAGTGGTTCCTGTATGTAGCTGATAAAACTTGGAAGAGGCTAAAAAGAGCAAAGTACCAAGGGTTTTGTTTTGCTTGTCGTTGTTAGTGGTGCTGCCTGGCTCTAGATAAATACGACAAGCCAAATCGTCTGCGTAATTGTCTTGCCTCAGTGCGTGGGTTTGATCCTGATCCGGGGCTATGCTGCACTACAAAATCAGGGTGCAGCTGCACCCAGAGCTGGTTGGAGTTTATAGACCGGCATCCGCTTCATTGTTTCCTTTCGTATTTAATCCTCCCCTCATTCAGTGAAAAACAACAACCGGTTTGGAAATTTGGTATGATATTGGCATACGATATGACTGAATATCGGGATATTGATATCATTGGTTTGTTTTGGTTTAGAGTGACACACTCTAAAAATTCATTGATGTTTACGCTTTCTGGAAATACCAATTCTCAAATTAAAGCCCACCCAAAAAATCGATCC